TGAGGGCCTGCGGTGACCCCTCGCAAAGAGCACAGGCACCAAAGAGTAGCACCGTACCCCTGCAGGAGCACTGCTCCAACCAGGAGCCGCCAGAGGATGCCCACACCGACCATAGAATCATAGATCACTGGACCATAGAATCATAGAATGGTTTGGGCTGGAAGGGACCTTAAAGATCATGGAGTTCCAACCCTCCTACCACAGCAGGTTGCTCCAAGCCCCATCCAGCCTGGCCTTGAACCCCTCCAGGGATGGGGCAGCCACAGCTTCTCTGGGCAACCTGGGCCAGGCTCTCACCACCCTCACAGCAAAGAATTTCTTCCTAATATCTAATCTCAATCTTCCCTCTTCCAATTTAAAGCCGTTCCCCCTTCTCCTGTCACTGCACTTCCTGACAAAGAGTCCCTCCCCAGCTCTCCTGTAGCTCCCTTCAGATATTGGAAGGCTGCTCTAAGGTCTCCCCAGAGTCTTCTCTTCCCCAGGCTGAACAACCCCAGCTGTTTCAGCCTGTCCTCACAGCAGAGGTGCTCCAGCTCTCTGATCATCTTTGTGACCCTCCGCTGGACCCATTCCAACAAATCCATGTCCTTTCTGTGCTGAGGACTCCAGAGCTGGACACAGTGCTCCAGGTGGGGTCTCACGAGTGCACCTCCATCTACCTCAGTGACCGTGTCCCCACACTGATTTTGTATTCAGGGACATAGAATCATAGAATGGTCTGGGCCAGAAGGGACCTCCAAAGGTCATCTAGTCTGACCTCCCCACAGTCAGCAGGGACACCCCCAACTACAGGGCCCAGGGCCTTGTTGAGCCTCACCTTGAATATCTCCAGGGATGGGGCCTCAACCACCTCCCCTGGCAACCTGTTGCAGTGCTCCACCACCCTCATAGAACTTATTCCTAATCTCCAATCTAAATCTGCTCTTCTCCAGCTTAAAGCCATTGCCCCTTGTCACTACAGCCCTTTGTAAACAGACTCTCAACAGAACATGATAGTTCTCCAACCATCCTCACATCAGAACATGATAGTTCTCCAACCATCCTCACAGGAGCCCACGGGGTTTGAGCACCCTTCTCCAAGCCCACATGAAAGCAGACGGGTCCCAACATCCCTGTCCCCAAGTAAAGTAGCCCTTCGGACTCGCCGAGGTGACAGGGCAGAGCCAAAACCCTCTCAGTCAGCCCCAGCTGCTGCTACAGAAGCAAGAGAAGCAGTTTGACTGTTTTCATCCATCCCCAGCCCATGGGTTTTCTGCAGGATCCTGTCTCAGACCAGTGGATCACAGACACGAACAAGTTTCAATATATGATAAAAGCCTAAACTCACTCAAATCTCAAGGGTTTCTTCAAGCTCTTGTTGATGTATGTTCAGTATATATATATTTTTTTAAAAAACAACATTATCAGCTTGAACTTTGTTTTTTTGATACTGTGGAACACAGCTTTCAGTACAGAACAGCTTAAACAAACCAAACCAGTTTGTCACAGACCAGCAACCCAGCTGGGCTTACTGTAAACATTTTCTCTGTGTCCCATCATAACTGAGTTTGAAACTAGTCTTATACTTGGAAAAACCCAACCCCTCTATCACACCTTTTGCTGTCTTACCAATAGATCTGTCCACCCATCTCCCCCCAACACAACCCACCCGTAGCTGTGTTACAGACCAACTCCAGGTGCACCCGAAATATCTCACCACACCAGCCTCCCCGCAACCTGTGCCTTCTCCCAGGGAAACAAAACTTTGTCAAGGTGACAATTAAGCAACTTTAGCCCTTGGGCTGCGCAGAGGGTCACTCTCATTCAGACCTGCATCGTCCTGGTACAACTACGACAATCCTTCTACCGGGCACAGCTCAGCAGACTTAGTATTTGCACAACGTTACCTGCAGTGATGGCTCCTAATCCAATTGTACAACCACAAATCCCACATTACTCTTGCGCAGCAGAAACACCTAGAGATCCCCCAGACATGCAGATAGCTCTTTGATCCTTCTTTTCCCCCCAAAACAAGAACAAACTGACTTTCAGGAGTATTCCAGAAAGATTTCATGCAAAGTAAATCTTTCAAATAACTGCTCAGCATTAGTGATTTCTGTGTGGGGTGTGCTTTCCAGGCGTATGGGTGAGGGAAGAACTCACAGACCTCACACAGGGCACAGGAAGAAGCAAGCCTTTATCCTTGCAGACCGTACAGAATCAAGTACTGAAAGAACCGTTTACATGGAAGAATAAAAGCGTACAATCTGCCGAGTACAGCATCATTTCTGTCACAGGAAGGAGGCCTTTCCCAGCGCCGTGGATTCCTCCAGTTCCCTCAGCACTGGGTTTGCAGGATTCTATTGCAGGAAAAATTGTCATTTAAAAACTAGTATCCAGTGTTTCAGTCGGGAAAACACTTCAGGTGACACGGATGAGTAGTGGAAGACAGCTTGAAGCCAAAGCTGCTCAGACCTGACACGGCTGTAACACTTCCTAGCCGAGAGCCACTTGCTTTTAAAGTGACCTGCTCTGAGAACAGCTCTCCCCTGAAAGAAGCCTATTTGCTGTATTCTTCAGTTCAGAGCTTCTCCTTTCCAGCAGCATCCAAGATCCGTTCCTTTTACCCTGTACCCGTCCTTCTAAATACCATGTTCAAACACACACACACACGGTGGATCCCTTCTGCTCACTGTGACGATATTCTGAACAGGACAAGTCTCTGTGCCTGCAACTCAGTCCATTAGGCGTGACCAGTCCATTCGATTCTTAAAAAATAAATGCCATTCCTTCGGAAGGTTTGTTTTTTTTTTACCATGCAAGTGCTTCAGGAAGGCAGCTGCAGCTGGCATCAGACTGCAGCTTTTTGAATGACTTCTTCCATACGCTGGTACCAGGGCTGAATCTTGGTGTGAACCATCATGTCGTCAAAGGCTTCCAGCCCCTCCATGACTCGGAGGACCCCATACACTGCCTGCGCCAGAGGATGAAGATAAGAGTCAGCAGTGGAGAATGGCTTAGGGTGCCAAGGAGTGTCACAATAGCCTAGCCAGAAAGGCTCTTCCCTGTCCTGCCATCTACTCCATTGCTCTGACTAGCAAGGAAGATTGAATGGCAGACAGGTAGTTAAGAATATGCATGTTTTTCCATGACAAAACAGTAAGAAAAGATCAGGATCTAAGTGCAGTTATGGAGCAAGAAGTTAACTCTATCTTTTCATCAAGCCCTGGTATGAAATGCTTCGTTTGCATTCCAGAGAGAATCACTGGTGCAGGGGATGAATCCTGCTCCACTCTGTGCTGCTGCCAGCAAAGGAAACCCCAGCAGCGCTGCGTGCAATGAACCTGTGCAGGTCCAAGGCTTTACTCATGAGCCAGAGGAGGGTCCTGGCTTGTAACCTGCTTTTATCAGGCTTCCACCTGCACATGGAAACTGCAGGTTCCAGCTTAGGAAACATTTCTCTGGAGAACAACAACAAAGACTATCCTACATAACAAGTATTTCTGAGTCCTCTTCCTGTGGGAATTGTATTACCGCACAAAGGACATGGGGAATGCAGCTCACGTAACTCATCTTCTCTGTCTATATGGGTATTAACCATTTCACATAGAAAAACAACTGGATAATTTGTAATACACCTAACAATAAATGCAGAAATTAACCCCTTACCAAGTCAGCAAGGTTTGGCTGGTTTCCACCCATGAACAGTCGATGTTTGCCAACAGCTTTTACCCACTCATTAACTGCTTCATACAAGTCTTCTCGGACATTATCTTGAAGGTGATGTCTGGAGAAAGAAAAGAACTAGTTTGAAGACACTGGTTTGTTCCTTTCTTTAACCTTCTACCATCTCTCATATCACAGCCTGGTCTTTGCCTGAGAATTAGGAAGGTATTTGAGAGTGAAGGGGGCAGTTAGTGATTAAACAGTAGATGAGTACAGAGGGTCAGTACCTCCCATTAAGGCAGTACAGCCGTTACTCTCATTGGATTAAACGGTTTGGTTTAAAACACTGAGGTTCTGCCCTTTGACACGTGGGGTTCACAGCTAAGGAGCTATTCCTCTTGTGTACTTGGTGCTCGGTGGTACCAACCTTTTCTTCAGCCTCTTGCTAACGAAGAACATGGCAACAGCCCCCATGTACTTGGCAAAGAAACCTTCCACGGTGCCAAACTTCCCCTCGCGGACGATGTAATCAAAAGATGCCAAGGCTTCTCTGGGGGTCCGGTAAACGTTGGGGGAGATGAGGTGAACAAGCCAATCGTCTGCCCATTTTCTCCACTTCATTTCTTCCCTGCAAGCGTTCAGAAGAGACTCATCAGTGAATGAGGTACAGATTGCAGGGCTACAGAAGGCAGACAGAATCAAAGTGGCATTAGCCAGAGGTTCTGCCAAGGACAAATGTGTCAAAAACGCCTGCCCAGCCTTGTGCTCTGGTGACCTCTCTGAAATGCACTCAGGATCATCATCTTTGGCAAGGCTCCTCCAAGCTCGAACTAAAATTAAGACTAAGACAGAGCACTAGCTTCTCCTCCCGATACAAGAATTAAAGCAGAAAAGGAAAATAGCACTTCATAGCATTCCTCTGTGACATAAAGGAAAAGCCAAGAAGGAAACCAGAGACAACTGAAGGCTGGCATGACCATGACAGTGGGAACAAGGCCATCCAACAGCATTGCTTCAGATTATCTAAGAAACACAGCAAACCCACTCTTAACTACCAAGGTTTTAAACACCAAGGAGGATGTGACAGGATTTGTCAGCTCCAGTGGGATTTTGTATCTGCACCATTCCCAAATACATCTGAAGGAGGCTGTGTCCCCACTTGGAGAGCCCCGAAACTTAAGAGCACTTACACTCTCACTTCTTTGACAGGATAAACTCGCTTCGTCTCCTTCTCATCCAGCATGAGCCAGTACTTATTCCCATACTCAAATACCTCCTTGCCTTGCTCGGTGACAGTTTTCATAGGAGGATAAAAGGACACGATCTCTTCTAAGCTATTCCTCCTGTGGACAGAAGCACAGTTAGCACTGACCTGGCTGCTACAAATACGAGCAGATCAGAGGACAGATAAAAGATAGACTCTTTAAAATTTATTCTTCTAAACATGAGTGCATGAGGTATTTATTTCAAATAAATTTATTTGAAATAAATTTTGAAAAGATGCTGGAACAGTTACTTGCAAATTACTATTATTAGCGTACATACCTTTTTCTGTGTTAGAACAGAAATTTTTGCAGGCATAAAATGTCCTACCACCTACCGTTCTCAAGTGCTTTGTAGCACAGAACTAAAAGACAAGCCACAGGCACAGCAATTTCACTTCATTCTACATGTTATAGCTGGCTAAATGTAAGCTTAGTTCCAGGATTAATATTAGTCCATGTTTAAGTAGGTTTTGTGCAAAGAGAATCTCACAGAAAAAAAAAAAAAAAAAAAAAAGAGTAGTTCTGAAAGGTAAAAAGCTTTGCTTCATTGCACACACATCACAACACATACAGACACCATCCACACCATCACAGCCAGGGTCAGGCCTGTTGGGCCACCCAGAGCTTCAGAGACCAAGGTCACCAAGATACTTATGACTGACTCAGAGAGTCTTCTCAATCTCTAGTTCTCTAGGGCCATTCACATGCAACTCTTCTCCCGTCATCCTGTTTTCTTACTTGGAAATGAGATAGGTCTTTATTGCACTGATGATCACCGATGAGTCATTCAATTGCTGGAAAACAGAATTAAACCAAAACTTTTAAAAGAGGTTGGTAAAATTGAACAGGAAATTTTTCAAAACCTTTTCCCCGTCAAGTTAGTACTGCAGTCCCTTTTCCTCCCTTCCACAAGTCTCTGCATATCTAAAGACAGCCCTGCATTCAGATCTTTTCTGTGATTCTTTTAGAGTATCACTTCAATTTTGTCTTTCATTCTGACAACAGAGGACCTGAGGGTCAAGTACACATACAATACTAGCGGGCTTTGAGTTTAAGCTCTTGGCAGCAAAGGAGGAAAAGCAACACTAACATTAAAAAAAAAAAAAAGCCAAGTTGAACCTTCAGTATTCTTGAGATCTCATTCTTTTCCCCACAAGATATAAACAGTTCCAGTTACTGCTGACACAAATGATATACCCTACATGAGGGCTGATACAAGCCAGATAATCACTGGACTAGAGAGTCACTATACAAACAACATCCCTTGTAAGAAAGGTCAACGGAAAACTCTAATAAGGTCAAGGCACAGGAAATCGTGAAGCAAAAAAAAAAAAATCTTAGGCCCTTGAGAGAGTAAGAGATGATCTAAAGATTACACTGTACACAATAAACCACAGCGACGTGACAGAGACAAAGCCTCTAAACCACTGCTTGCGGGGAAATCAAGCTTTCAACACAGTTTGACTTACCAGAGGGCTTCCAGCATTGGCTAGCAGGATAGGCACCTTTCTGTAGGAAGAGAATTTGATCTCTTTCCTCATGATCGGGTTCACTTCCACAATTTCATAGGGCAGTCCATGATAATCAAGAAAAGCTCGGACTTTGCTGCAGAAAGGACACGTTTTATACTGGTAGAGAGTGAGCTGCAGGCTCCCTGCAGGAAGCTGGGGAAGGAAAAGACCAGAAGCTTCCATTTTCTAGTAAAAACAAAAATATTACCTTCTTCCATCCTTATTTTTGTCATGAAGTTGGGGTCATTGACCTTCAGTTTCAATAACTGATCAAAATATCTTGGCTAACATGCTCTCTTCAAATGATATCACAAATATTCACCTTCCAATGGGATGACATACTTGTTTTTCTAAACAGCTATTTAATCTGTTGGAATCTCCCACTCCCAGCCAGAAAAATAAAAGCAGTTAAATCCAGGCAGCTTACCCCTCTATACACAATTCTGAAACTAAAGAAAAACACCACCATATCTTAATCATCTTTAGATCAAAGCCAAAATAGCCTTTTAAATCCAATTCCCTCTCTCCCCTCTGATAACTTCTGTTGAGGTCACAGGGTGGGAAGACCAGAGGGAGAGTCTGTTGTTGATTTCAGGCGTGTGTCTGCCCAAATTCAGGTTCCTGGCATTAACCAACCTGGGCACAACCGAGACAGGGCAGGGAGCACCCGGGCGGCACAGAGAGCGAGGCACTGGGTGAGGGACATTTCCCAACACCGGTGCACTCCAGCCATCTGACAGGCCGTGCCATTCATTAGTCACAGATTATAAAACAAATACTTTCCCGTATAAATCTTTGCTTCTCACTTGCAATTTATTGGGTTACACAACCCTCCGTGGGTGCCGGGGAAAAGCAACAACAGACAATGCCGCCTCACATCCCCAGCAATCTCTGGCTTTCTGACAGGCTTTCCTCACAGCTCCTCAAGGGGAGCGCTGCCGGGGCCTCTTTTGTACAATTTTAAGCAGTTTCCTCGCTGAAACCGGACCAAAAGCAACCGCTTGGTCCGCAGGAACGGAACACACCGCTCCACGCCCCCCCCCCTCCCCGAAGCTCTGTCGCCAGGGGCTGGCGGCCGCGGCCGTGCGCGGGCCTCGGGGGCTGGGCAGGTACCCGGGGAAGCCCGGCGGGGACGGAGAGGACCGGGAGGGGAGGAAAGCGCAGCCCGCGTGCGGGGGGAGCCACCTGAGGCGGCGAGCGGGGCCCGGCGGCGCGTTACCTCAGCGGCCGAGTGCTCCCGCAGGCGCTGCCGCGCCGCCAGGTAAAGGCCGGCGCCGCCGCCCAGCGCGAAGGCAGCGCCCAGCAGCAGCCGGCCCCGACCGGCGCGGTTAAAGGGCCCGTCCCGCCCCTCGGCGCTGCCCCCGCCCCCGAAATGGCGGCGGCGATTCTTCCCTGAGGTAAAAAAAGGACTCAAAGGGTGTTAAACTCCACGCAGGCAGGCTCCGCGGGGCCGTGTGGCTGCGGGGAGCCACAGCGAGCGCGGCCCCGCGGTGACTGTAAGCGCCGGGTTCGCTGAGGAGACGCCGAAGTGTAAAGTGGAAATAAAATAATCATAGAATGGTTCGAGTTGAAAGGGACCTTAAAGATCATCCAGTTCCAGCCCCCTGCCCTGGGCAGGGACACCTCCCACCAGACCAGGTTGCTCAAAGCCCCATCCAGCCTGGCCTTGAACCCCTCCAGGGATGGGGCAGCCACAGCTTCTCTGGGCAACCTGGGCCAGTGTCTCACCACCCTCACAGCAAAGAATGAATTTCTGGTATCTAACCTAAATCTCCCCTCTTCCAATTTAAAGCCGTTCCCCCTTGTCCTGTCACTGCACTTCCTGACAAAGAGTTCCTCCCCAGCTCTCCTGTAGCTCCCTTCAGATATTGGAAGGCTGCTCTAAGGTACCCCCGGTGTCTTCTCCAGGCTGAACAACCCCAGCTCTCTCAGCCTGTCTTCATAGCAGAGATGCTCCAGCCCTCTGATCATCTTTGTGACCCTCCGCTATACCTGTTCCAACAGGTCCATGTCCTTCCTGTGTTGAGGACTCCAGAACTGGACACAGGACTTCAGGTGGGATCTCACCAGTGCAGAGCAGAGGGGCAGAATCACCTCCCTTGCCCTCTGCCCATGCTTCTTCTGATGCAGCCCTGGATGGGGTTGGCTTTCTTGGCTGCCAGCACACACTGCCGGCTCATGTTGAGCTTCTCATCCACAATGTGGATGATGTGTTCTCTGAGGGCACGTTCTGCCCACCCCCACAGCATGAGCACAGAGCTTCACAGTGAAAGTCCTCATCTTTTTCATTAAAGCATGGATGCGTCTATTAATTACACTAATATTCAGTTCCCCCACCTTGAGGCACCACTCGGCAACACGGAACAGGGTTACCTCACAGGGAAGAGCTGGCCACATGTTAAACGAGGACATAACCTTTTCTTTGTTCTTTGCCCCAAATACCCAGTTAGTAACAGTGCTCAAACTGGGTTTATCTCAGGAGCGCTGATGGAATTAACGCTCTAATTGTAAATTATCCCGGTGACATCTCTAGGGGATGAAAAAACCACGCAGCCATTAGATCTCCTCAGGGCGCGTGAGGTACGACCAAGACTGGGCCAAAGACAAGGAAGGGCAAAGCGAATGGAGGTCTGAAGGTGACCTGAGGCTGGTTCAAGCTGCTCAGGGATGGAGCAGGGCTGGTAACACGGCTGCATTTTGGTGCTGGGCACCAAAGCCCTGGCTGCTGTGCCCTCAGCACTGGGTGCCTCTTCAGAGACCATCTCCTGCCTGGGGAAAGCAGCACTGGGTGCTCGGGACAGCTTCACTTCATGCCCAAAGGCACTTGCTTGTGCCGGTATGTGCTGTGGCTGGGCCAGCCCTGAGGACAGGGAGGCCTTGAGGGGGCTGAGGACACGTTTGGGGTCACGTTTGGGGAAAAAAACCCAAGAAATGGGGAGCACGGAGCCGTGCCCGCCCGGCCGCCCCGCCACTGCCGCTCCCGCCCGCCCGCTAACCACAGGCTTTACCCCCGCGCCGACCCGCCGGCTTTGCGTGACGCAGGCGGCGCCGAGCTTCCCCATTGGCCAGCGGGCTCTGAGGGGCGCAGCGAGGCGCCGTGCGGCCGGTTCCGGGTCGGCGGGATGTCGGGGCCCAACGGGGAGCCGCATGTGCCGGTGGGCGGTGAGGAAGAAGAGGAGGAGGAGGAGGACGGGGAGAGCTTCGGGGAGGAAGGTGCGTGGGGACGGGCCGGGGTGAGGCGGCCTGCCTGGCTGCCAGCCGACTGGCGGGGCTGTATGGCCCGGCCCGGTCCCGTGGGCCTGCTGGTGAGGCCCAGGTGTTCCCAGGTGTTTTTGCCGTTTCTGCTGGGAGCGGTGCCTGGCGCCACGGTGAGGGGCTGCGGGGGCGGGTGGGTGTTTAAACCAAGGCTGAGAGAGCTGGGGTTGTTCAGCCTGGAGAAGAGAAGGCTCCGGGGAGACCTTAGAGCAGCCTTCCAGTATCTGAAGGGAGCTCCAGGAGAGCTGGGGAGGGACTCTGTCAGGGAGTGCAGTGACAGGACAAGGGGTAACGGCTTTAAATTGGAAGAGGGGAGATTGAGATTAGATATTAGGAAGAAATTCTTTGCTGTGAGGGTGGTGAGAGCCTGGCCCAGGTTGCCCAGAGAAGCTGTGGTTGCCCCATCCCTGGAGGGGTTCAAGGCCAGGCTGGATGGGGCTTGGAGCAACCTGGTCTGGTGGGAGGTGTCCCTGGCCATGGCAGGGGGGTTGGAACTCCATGATCTTTAAGGTCCCTTCCAACTCGAACCATTCTATGATTCTATGGTCCAATGATTCCCTCCTGGCAATGGGGCGCTGAGCTGTCACACTGGTGCCTCGGGGGGATTGGGGTTTTTAGCTTCTCATGTGGAAAGAGGAGGCCATGGTTTTGCTGGTGTATGGGGTGTGGCTGGCCAAGGAGAAAGAGGACGTCCGGAGTCTGAAACTGCAGGACAGATCATGCGGGCAAGTCTGGAAGAAGTTGTTGTGGGTGGAAAAAGTGAATTTAATGCAATTAGCTTGGCAGATTCCTCCTTTGGGCATTTTTACAGCACCTAGGAGTGACCTTTCTGATACTGCCATGTCCAGTTAGAAAAAGGCAGTGGAGGAAATGAGACAATGGCAAAGCTGTATGTATGCACATGCATGGATCATTCCTAAAATTGGAGATCTTTCAAAGAGTAAGCACTTTGCTACTCTTCTCTCAAAAATGGCGAAGAATTGGGTTATGCTTTTTCCCAAAAGGCCATTCAGTTTTCCCACACAGGTGAATCTCTTCGCTGTGACTGTGATCCACCTGCAGTGACAGCAGGATCATTTCTGCCCTGAAACAGCCCAAGAGCGTTCACCGCTTTGCATCATCACAGTGATTTGTGTTTCAAAGTCTTTGAAGATGTAGGAGAGACACTGGATGTGATGGAGAGTCACTAGATCTGATCTACATAGTCATTCTGCTTGTAATTAGCTGGGGCTTTGTGTGCAGCAGCTGGTCATAGAGGTCTGGTGTTATTTCCTGGTCTCATGGAGCTGAAGCTGTGGATCAGTTCCTTGATCTCAAATAGGAAACCTCATTTTTGGCAACTGTTCTTGTAAGAATGCAGAGGAGCAAAGAGCACAATTGCTGTACTCCTGGTCAACGTTTTCATTAGGGGACATGGTTACGTTTCCACAAAAACACAGCAAGCTTGTGACTAACAGAAAACAACCAAATAAAATATTTTACAGCATGTTTAAAATTTTTTTCACTTCCCGAAGCTGCACAACTTACAGAGCCTTCACTTGAGCTCTAGGCACTGAGAACAATTAGGCTCCTGCAGTGATTACAGACTTGCCGATTTGATGAAAGATGTTACTTGTCAGAAGAGGTTCCCGTGTCTGCCTGGGAGCTGCTCAGGGTTTAATTGGAATGTGGAGCATCACACACAGATCAAATACTGGGTTGAAGTAAAAAGCTCTAATTCGTGGACGTTCGGGTATCACATACCTTGAAATGGGGTTTGCAAAATACTGATAGTGGGTGAGTACTTTTTGGAAACAATGTGTTTGTGGGATTGGTTTCTAAACGCAAGGACATCAGCAGTGCTTTTGGCTCATAATGCTGCTGCTGCATATACCTCCAAGGCTAAACTTTTTATAAACAAGCTTAGATGTTATATATGCAATTCTCCAAAGAAGTAAAGGCTGCAACGCTGCTGTGAATGGTTCCAAAGTAGTATAAGAAAAGGAGGACTTTTGTTTTTATAATGAAACTTCTCCTTAGCTATTAATAAATGCAAAAGACTGCAATATTTAAATATTCACTGTTTTTTTTTAAAGGTGCTGGTAGTGGCAGTGCCTGGGCCCCGTGTACAGGGGCACAGGGACCTACAAAAGCATCAAGAGGGTAACTGAGAGGGGCAAAGTTTGGCTTATGAGGCTGGGGGATTTCAACACAGCTCAACCCTCATCTTCCTCACTACCTCCCGTATTCTCCGTTGGCTCAGAGCAGCGCTCCAGCAGCTCCCAGAGGAGCTGGGTGGAGGGTGCCAGCCCCTGACGGGGAGGTGGGGGCTTCTCCCACCCACACAGGCATCTTTCCTTGTCCCACAGCCCACGATCCTCACGGACGTCAGCCCACGGGACTGGCTCTGCCCAAGGTCTCCTGTAACACCCCCGGGGGCTTCAGCGGATGCCAGGCTTCCAGTTCCTGAGTAACTTGCCAGCAGAGGTTTATCTTGCCTGGTTTTTCAGTTTGTTTTTTTTTGTTATTCCTTAGGATTGTGTGAATATTGCTTGGAGCAGCCCAAAAGCAAGTGTTTCATCACAGTAGCCCAGCTATCTTCATCTGATTCACAGAATTGTCAGAGTTGGAAGGGACCTTCTAGAGATCATCCAGTCCAACTCCCCTGCCAAGGCAGGGTTGCCCAGAGCACATCACTCAGGAGCATCCAGGCGGGGCTTGAAGATCTCCAGAGAAGGGGACTCCACACCCTCCCTGGGCAGCCTCTGCCAGGGCTCTGCCACCCTCACCCCAAAGAAGTTCTTCCTCAGATTTGAGTGGAACTTCCCATGTTCCAACTTGTGCCTGTTGCCCCTCGTCCTGTCACTGGGAACCACCGAAAAGAGTCCGGCTCCATCCTCCCTCAAACCGCCCTTTAGATTCTTGTCAGCATTAGCAGCGTTAATACACGTTGCTGTGAAATGCTGTTGTGCTGAGGCTAAAGCTGCACTTGAAACAAATGCTGTGAATAAGAAACTGTACCTGGGGAACTGACTGTCAGGATCAGCCCAAATGAGTTTGGTTTTAATCTGAAGTACCCAAAGCTTTACTGGTGCATGAAAATCCTGCGGTTGAACTTGGTGCCCACAGTTCATTTCCCTTTGGAAATATCGGTGCCACTTACCAGCACCTTTGGGCTCATCCCTGCTCCTGCCACAGCCACGGCCGGGCTGTTCAGCAGCCTGAGCCCAGCCAGGCCCCTGCGAAGCAGACCCCAGCCCTGGGAGCCTTACACAACCAACCCACAGAATGTAGCTGGCACTTCGGCACGCTGCCAAAATGCCTGCACCCTCCTCGGGAAAGATGATCCCTAAGGCAGCTAAAAAGGCAGCTGACTTGTCCTTGGGGTTTATTTGGGGCCGTTGTAACAGGGATCACTGCACACCAGCACTCGCCTGCCCTCAGCTATTCACGTGGGAGATGAAAGGCTGTGGGATATGTGCAGTAACGCGTCTGGAGCAGCCAGGTAACTTGCCTTAGATCTTGTTATCAATCCTCCAGCTTCCCATTGGTCTCGTTGGATGGGTGATGATGGATTCAGCTGCATTTTACTTCACCCAGCCAGTGGTAGATAAAGCACAGCCAAAATGCTGTGGGCACCTTTTGCAAGAGCTCTCGCTGCCTCCACTTGCTGCAGTGACAATACACTCATGTTACTCAGTCTCTCATTTCATTTCCTTTTAGAATATGCAGCAATAAACTCCATGCTGGACCAGATCAACTCCTGCTTGGATCACCTGGAGGAGAAGAACGATTATCTACACGCCTGCTTGAAAGAACTGCTGGAGTCCAACCGCCAGACCCGCCTGGAATTCCAGCAGCAGAGCGAGCAGCAGAACATGGAAGCTGATGTGCAGGGACCACAGCCTCCCACCTAGTGTGCTGGCCACAGACTCCCAGTTGGTGTTGCTAAGGGGACATTTACTGGCCACCTATTTAACCTAAAACTTGAATAGAGAGGTACCTCGTGCCTGTTACCTTTTCCTTCCCGTGGTCACATCCTGCCGTTCATCTCCATGTTCTGTTTTTCTTGAGCTGTGACAGGGGCAGAACAGCACAGAGGGATGGAGGAGAGTTGGTTCTTTTTGCTCCCCAGCATGAGCCTGGCGCTGACACTCGGTTCGAGCCGGCTGTAGGAAGCCTGATGCCATGCAGGCTGTTTGCCAGCAGGCCCTCTTCACAAAGGGGAAAAATCATCTCTGTTCTTTTGTACTGTTAAATCCAGACAAGAAAAGTTATGGCTTCAGCCTCCTCCCTCAAAAAGCACAGTGGGCAGGGGCTGTCCCAGCTCCAGGCTTGCCCCGAGGCGTAACGGGGGGACCCTAGACCAGCTCCTGCCTCGAAACTACAACTTCCCTGTTATTCACATTAACTGTGATGTAAGAAATATTGGCAGATGGTCCCTGATCACTGGACACCTCTATCCCCTTCTAAAAGCACCTGAGACGAGCTGCCAGGGTAATGCTTTTGGAAACTACTAACTCCATAAGCTGCCATTAAGGACTCGGGCGTTACAGGGAGGCAGGGCGAAGCACCTGAGACAAGCTGCCAGAGTAATGCTTTTGGCCATTATAATTGGAAGCTACTAACTCCATAATAAGGACTCGGGCGTTACAGGGAGGCAGGGCAGCCAGGTTAGCCCCCACCACAGCACGAGCTCTCCAGAGCAAAGAGAGAGGGGTGTCCCTGCTGTGGGCTGTGAGTAGAGTCCCCCCTCTTGTGTTTTGACAAGAGCACACATGAGCATTCTGGTCTGAAACTTTGTCATCTGGTCAGGATGGCCTAGGGCCAGCACCGTGAAGCAAGTCCTACTGTTCTCCTGCTGTAGAGTTAAGGGAGGTTTTGTTGAAAGTTAAAGAAGTTATTTATAAGAAATCTGTTTTATTAAAATCAGTTTGAAACAAAATTTGTTCCTGAGAGTCTCCACTATGAGAACAAATTGTATTAAGCCTTGTAATAATAACAAAGGGACCAAGATGCATGGTCTTGCCTCGCTTGGGACACAGGAGGGTGCATCTTTGAAAGGAAACTGACTGAGAAGCAGAATTGGGCACATGGTCTCCCAAGAGATAAATTTTTCCTCTGCCTGAAAAGGAAATGAACTACAAAGAATTCTTAGTGAAAAATAAGTCTGGATCCATCTGCTTCATGAACTTTGTCCCCTGTGGAAATCACATTACCATCTTCTTTCAGGTTCCACAATCCAAGCCTCAGTCTTTCCACATTAATTGCTGTATCCCCGCTGTACAAGTAATAACCAACACCATCCTGTATTAGACACGCTAAAGCCAGGCTTATTTTATTCTTAAAATAAAAACAGCAGTAAAGTTGAAGGTTTTTTGCTCTATTAAAAGACTCCGAAAATAAACATTTCCAGCAAATATCATATGTAAAGGGCTCTCCCCTTTAAGGCCACTCTATCTGGGTTTGCGCCTGGTAGAGCGTCTGCACCCAGCAGAGGTAAGACTGGCTGTCTCACCTTTGGCTAGGGAGGAAGGCTCTGCCTCTGCCTCCTGGCCTGCGTTTGCTGCCTCATTCTGTGCTAAACCCCCTCTGTTCCCTGGATCCTGGCAGTCGTCTGTGCCTTCCCTTTGCCTGGCTGCATCGGCTTCCTCCTCCTCCTCCTCCTCCTTAGACACAGCGTGTCCCAGCAACTCCCCTACGGCGCGGTTCTCTTCAGGGAGCGGGCCATCGGCACTAGCGGTAGTGAATTTGCTCTCTTCCTGGAGATTTTCTTCTTCTACAACCACGATTCCGCACACGTCGTCAGTCACACTGGCAAGGCTCTTCCCCTCTGCTACAGAGGTGCCCAGCTCACCCTTACCCTCCGGAGACCTCAAAGCTTGTTCTTGCAGAGCCAAAAGCTCTGTACCCTCCTTGTCTATGCCACGATCAGCGTTCAACTTCTTGCTGGTATCTGCTGTTGGAGCAGGAGGCTGTTGTGGATCATCCAGCAATTGGGAGCTGGAGCCCTGGGAATGCAAAGGAGCCTCGGGGTAGGCAGCTGTGGCGCGATGCCTCGCTGCCTTGTATCTCTGCAAACACAAACAAACCACACGTGAGAGACGAGCCCAGCTCAGCTCCTGTCACTGCAGCAAGTGGCAGCTCGTCCAGGAAAACCTGTACAAAAACAGTGGTGAGTGGCAGCTACAATCTGCAGGGGCACAGCTTGTCTCAGCAGCTCTCCTGGCCTGGCTGCTGAGGCTTTCAAGCAGAGAAGGGTCAGCTCCTGTGAGGAAAAGTGGCGATATTAAAAAAAAAAAAAACAAAAACCTGAAGTCCCTCTCACATTACTCAATGCTGAGCGAGTGCATGGCAGACCTGTGGCTCTCCCGAGACAAAAATCAGGTTCTGGCAACTGTTAATCTCAGTCAGACTCAGGACTGTGTAGATGTAACAGTGCAAGTGATGGCTCTTGCTTCAGCTACTGCCAGGACATAACTCTGGGCATGTACCCTGGATATACGAGGCGCCCTCAGCCAGAGCTGTGACTTATGTTCATCAGCCAAAGCAAGACTTAAATTGAAAGCTTAAGATTTTTTTCACTCTGTTGATAACAATCTGTGCAGTCAGTGAAAGTGTTGACAGGAACACTAAGATATCAAGAATATCTTCTTGTTACAAGGCACTGAGGTTCCCTACTCAATAAAGGTAAGCATATCATCAATAAAATGACTCATTTGCACTTGCTATCGTGATGAACCAGGAGAGGTCTGTAAAGAGATTAAAATGGCTATTAGCCATTTTCAAGATGGGATTTCAGAAAAACATCAACTCCGTACAGCTATCTAACATGCAGCAGGGCTCTGGTCTTCAAGACCCAGACAGAGCATGAGCTAAAGGAATAAAACAAAGCTCCCTCTTTTCCACAGCGGTTCCCTCCACAATCAACTCCCTTTCAGCTTTCTGCTAAAGGGTCCCTTGAACCAGCACCAGAATTAAATCTGACAATTTAAGGGAACTATTTGAGGGCACTGGCTTTCACCGCTGCCTTAAGCAGCGCTGCTGGAGTCTGCGATGTGGTGGAATTACAGCATGGCAGACAGGCAGCTTTACATTGTAATTCAGTTTATCATTGCAGGCTCGTTCTTTCTCTGTCCTCAAACACTGGGATATGCACGGTATCGTGACACATTGGAGCTACATCAGTCAAGTCATAATGTTGTACCTGAACTAAGCCAGGCCCAGGCCTGCCAGTTTGTTTTCAGAGCGATGCCATGAACCACCTCATCAGCAGACAAGTCTCTGCTTTGAAACCCTCTGCTGAGCTACTCTCTGAGCACCCCAGAAGCTGGCAACGATTTAACTCAGACTGTGGCAACCCCAAGACACCTAGGCAGCCAAGAATAATAATTATCTGCCTGCAGATATTTAAGGTTGGACTCTCATCATCAATAATCCCCTCCAGGTCACTCTGGCATCCATTTGAGGAGTGTCTGATTTCAGCTCTAAGTGGGCCAGAAGGGAGGCACACACACTGCTGCTGCAGTTTCACTCTTAAGCTGATCTAAAATAAGCCAGGAAAACTGCAAGCCCGAGTCCTTCATTCCCCAAATTACTAGCTGCAAGAGTGGGAGAGGATGAGCAACCATGAAGGAACAGCTGTGGTCTCCTCGTGCTCTTTGCCATTCCAAATCCACTGCTCTACGTGCTGGCTTCTGCAGCACCACACCCCTTTCTGGAGGCAGTGAGGACTGACTACCAGTAGTTAACCTGTCTGAAGACCAGCAGAAAAACGATTTTTTTTTTAAACACTAATAAAAGCTGGATATATCTGTGGTAGGGAAGCACAACTGCTTTTGCTGGAGCAGGTTTTGGGTGCAGGCAGAGGACAAAAATCAGTGTGTGAGCCTCCCTCCTCAGCAGGGTGAGGGGACTCCGCTCTCCTGCATGGGCAGGTCCCAGGCAGTGGCCACGGGAGAGGGCAGAGACAGCACAAGCCCTGAGGACCCACCACAAGGTACTAATCCAAGCCCCTCACCCCCTGGCAAGTCAACAAGGACAGAACGATGGAGGCAGATTCCAGGCCAGCCCAGTAGGAAAAGCTTCTAGATACGAAAGCAGCAAGGGGCAATAGGGCTTCTTTAGGTGGAGCCAGTAAAGCAAAGGAGCAGCGTCAGCTGGCAGAGCTTTGTGCTAAGGAGTTTCTAGGAAAGGGTAGCAGACAGACAGACAGACTGACTTCCTGTTGCAGGCTGACCCTGGGGACCAAATGGACTCTCATCAGCTTGTAGCTTCCATCACGTAAAGAGTCTCTTAAGTTAAATTTCCAGATTTCTAAGGCGAATACCTGGTTTTTACCAAGCCCCTTCACGGATGAATCACACCCACAATTTTGGCTAAAGGAGCTGTTCCTGCAGCATCGCATGAAAAGATGCGAATGTACCCCCTTTCTTTAAAAGGAACAGCCTCTGTCTCTTGTTCTTTCCCCGTCTTGACCCACCTGTAATCTGTCTAACAGAGAAGAGGCCTAGACTGAACGGCAGACTCCACAGGTTCAGCAAACAGAATAGACACTCTGAGAAGATTTCCAGCCAGAAATGGGCAACAAGATGACAGCAGCAGTAGCCAGGAAGCAGGACTGGACTGGTTTGAGATCTACAGTGGTGATGGGAGACAAACAGAGAGCACACCAGGAGAAAGCTATGGCACAACGGACACCAAGGATGATGGAAATGAACCAAAGACAAGACAGCTGACGTGGTGGATTTGCTTGAAGAGACACGCATGGGGGTAACAAATGCCAGGCCATGCAATCGCCAAAGGGTCTAACCTGAAAGTTCTCAAAATGCATCAGGGACTTGCAGTGTGCGAGCCGGGCAGCAGAGTCGCTATGGTAGAATTTGTGACACAGCCTGCAGAGGTAACCTGCGACGGGGACCAGAAAATCCAGGCCTGCGAAACGGGAGGGGAAGGGAAATCACAGATCACATTGAATGGAACTCAAATAATGAAAGCATGTTAAAAAGGGAAGGGGAGGGAGG